GGTTGCCTGAAGTTTTTCATTTTCAGTAAATTGGCAATAGAGAACAATCAAAACACCCACTTCCGAAGGATGTTCGGTAGTTGGCGGAACTGCCTGGCACTCTGGAAGGTTATATACGCAAAGTAATAGATTACTATCAAACAACGATGGCTGTGGACACTGTGCAGGTATTAGCTTTCCGTCTTTACAATATATGAAATCTGATGAGCACCTATCCAGCGCAATGCTGGCAAGGCATTGAACCTGAATCATAGAAAAAGACTGGAAGAAAGCAAAACTCATACTTGCTGGGTGACTTATCAGATGCACAATGTGCCTTTTCTAGCTTACAAAAGAGGCACTCATCATCTTCAGTTGTTACCTGCTGACCACACGTTCCTATTGAATCATTGGTCTTTCCTTGGCAGTTTAGAGCAGCATCAGATACATCATGCCCTGAAATCGTTTACTTACAGTACCACCCTATTAACGTCCGAAACTGAAGCGCCAATAAAAATAAAAAGGATAAAGGATAAAGCTCTCGGCGTTGATCAATCTCTGAGGGATGCACCATGCATTCGACTTCAATTTTCAACTTCGTTTGAGGTGATTGAATGCATATCTGCCCTTTACAATGACTCGCGGTGGTCTCTCGCTATACCAAGTCAATGCTGCTTATCCTCCCAGACAAGATGGATGACTTGGTGAGCCATGAGCGCGAGATCAAACCATTGACCTCGTGTGCGAGGCAGAGCACCTCTAACCACTGCGCCACATGCGCTCTGCCAATAAAAATAGCACCTTCATATTATTTGTATACGTGCAGGTGAATAAGATAAATGGAGTAGGATTCTCACGAAAACTCTCAGAAAAGTAACAAATTCACTTGAAAACACTGAATGGAAAATTGAAAAAGCTTCGTACCAAAAGTGAGTGTGTTTAGAGTTAGTAGAAGTAGTAACATCTACTAACAGGAGTGAATGATGAGTGAGTGGTGAGTGGTGAGTTGTGAGCACCGCTCCAGGACTTCGACAGCGCTCCAATAATCAAGAAAACGGCGATGACCCTGTCCATGCGCACCATTCATGACTGTCTTGATCTTGAGCGCACCAGTAACGAGTACGGTATTTTCTGTGCAAAGCTCTTCAAGAAATATCACCTAACTGCCTTTGTTATAATCATTCGTATCACATGTGATTCATGGCTCCATTATCCGCTGAGATTGATGAAACATGTAAAAAGTCTATTATAAAAACATCTCAGCACTGCGTCGATTCGAACGGCAATGGATTAATCGCTGTGAAGAATTCTTTCTGGAAATCGATAAGATTATAGGTCTTGTGATCATACGAGCCGTTCGAGATCGAGTCGCTTGAATGTGTGATCTGCCATTTGTTTAGAAAATAAACTGCTGTTATTAGTAAAGTCAATGGAATATATTTTTCAACATTTGTCTTATAAGACAATATCAGCGTATTTCATAGGATATCTGAGCTGTCATATCTCCAAGTGGACATGTGGTATGTCTCAATCATCATCGTGTAACTGAACCTGAACGGCGTTCCACAAGTAAAGAACTGCAATAAGAGATTCATGGAAATTTCGATTATACCGTGAGCACCAATTTCTCATCGGCAACAATGGTAGTTGGCTTGACTGGAGCGTTCTGTCTTGTGCAAGACGTTTGTGTTTGTATCGACAATTCTGAAAACATCTTTTCACCTGAATCCTTCGTCAGTAACTTTAGTGCTATCAAATGATTCATATATTGGATCGGACTTCGTGGATCTAATCGGAAACGTTTATTACGATGCGCTGGTGTCAAGTGACCTCTCCCCCTTAAAAAAAAAGTATGATGAATTCGCTTACATTTAAGTTTAGAGAATATTCGTCGTGATATCATTTGCCTACGAAATTTTACTAGAAGCATCATCAGGGACCTTATCCACAATGACTTAATCAGAGGGTCTAACAATGCTTACGCAATGGTAGAGCTCATCAAACTGCTCCAAATTTGTCTCAAACACGAAAGCCTAGTTCAATAATTTCTCGGTTATGTCATTCTTATAGAAACACGTTCTTTTTGACATTTACGTCACGACGTGGACTCTCTACGAGCTACATGAGTCGAGATGATGGCCGCTATGAACTTTCAATCAGCGTAGCCCAATTCGTATCGAGTTTCTTCATTTTAAACGATAAAAATTTGCGAATGACTTACGAAGAATTCACAGAATTAAATTTTTCTTGTTCTACCGTAGTGAATTCATATTTTTTTCCGAAGCACAACATATATTTCTTTCACCTATTTGCCTGAAGGCCCATAAGTTTATATAAGAAAGCAAGCTCTCAGAAGTGATTTTGTCTGGAATGACATAGTGATGTTTCTGCATATTATGTTCTAGCAGCCGCCCACTATTGAAAGTTCAAGAACGCACGTTTGATTGAACCCTTAAGGGAGTTTGTGTTTCGAACGCATTCAACTTTTTAAATACGTTGTAAAAAATCGTATATGCAGTTTCTGTGGTAGAGCAAGGTCTCCTTTCTATCAAGGTATCTATCCCGATAATATTACGCCACTGCAAAAATAATGGCGGTTTTAAATCGTTAGTTTTGAACGATAATAAGTAGGCTAAAACAACTCTTCATTACTCAAATACAACCATTACAGTCAGTGCCTCCTTGCATACAAGAAATGCTTGCTTATTCTTGCAACTCAAAAATCCATGCCTCGGATTTGACGAACTTTTGAGAAGCAGTTTCAGCATCCTATTGATTGTAGAAACGATTTACATGCAAGAGGTTGTCGAGTTCTGGTTCATAAAATTTGGCATCAGAGATTATAGAACTAATGAGCATTTTAGCTGGTTTATAGCCACTTTCATGACCACCTTTATGTATCTGAAAATAGCAAAATTTGTCCCAACGGAGGATGCGGCAACTGCCAGGAACTTGATATGACGCACTTAAACTTTTGAAGTGTACGGATATAGACACATTGGCGAGACTGGAAATCACATCCGTGTAAGAAATGCCACAGTTGGAAAATTCAAAGACAAAGGAAATTTTTTCACAAGGCACACTTAGTGTTCAAACACAATTCAACAAAGAATTCAATAAAATCAGCACTTTGGTGAAATTAAAACATCTAGACACAAAAATTCTCATCTGTTGTGCTTTAAAAAAGAAGGCGGGTCGCCGAAACGTCAGCCGAATTTCTACAACTGTTTTATCAACCTCGCGTCAGCTAATCCAGATAAGTTTTCTCCATTTTCATATATCAATTGTTGTGCTTTATTTTGTACCGCACTACAGCCAGAATTTTCCTAATCTGAGTGTGACACTTAACCACCTATGTAAGACTTCGTGCTGATGATCTCTGAGAAATAACCGAAAGACTTAAATCGAAGAAATTTATGAGTCAGTGTCAAAACCCGCCAACGGCTGGTCATTGGCAGCTTAGATGCCATGGATCGAATAAGGAATGATACCAGACCGGGTGCCCTCGATGGTGCACTGCTACACGCGCACTCGGTGGTTGACACGCGGATGCAACTCCCGCTTGGGATCAAAAGTTCTGCACGTCGCTCGACATCTTTGAAGAAATCGTTGCGTGATATGCGCTCTTCATTAATCAGAATGCGAATGTTTTTAAGACTATCTGAGAATATCTTGACCACGAATTGTGTGCGAATATCGCTAATTCAAACTTTACGTTAAAACGGCCAAATCCAAAAACTTCTTTATTGATGTATAAAAGTGTGGTATATGATAACTTTACTACTAAAACGATGGACACAGACAGGTAAGTCTTGGTGAGGGATATAGAGAAGTAATCGATGGTGCGTAGAATGACGTGACGATCCAGAAACCGACTGCTGAACGCTTTATGAGATAGCGCTTCCCTTTATCCTGGCTGCATGCCACTCCGGATAACGAATGTCATTGACGTCATATGGGGAATAAACTGACACTCCATCCCACTGCATTATGGTCCGTGTGTACCTGAAGATATATCAGTTTCGGAACCAGTACCTGTAAAATACATATAGTAAACGACATATGATATTGTCTCATCATCTGTCAGATCAACTTACAGATTCGCCCAATAGTGTTAATATCTCTATTTTTGTCGAAGAAATCCTATAGCACAGGAGGATAGGCCATATCTTTCGCTGAATTCACGTAACCATGAGCGCATCTGACTAGGTTGGGAGAAAGTTTCCATCGTTCGATAAAACATCCAAGATTTATGCATATATTCAGTTAACAAACAGCAACAACTATTCTTCAAAATACAGGCCATCATTATCCACCACTTTTTGTCATCGGTCCACCAGGTTTCGGATATGATCGGAGTACCACTCCTTCGGCTTTGAATCAAAGAACTCTTGACATGGTTTTTCAACTTCATCGAAAGATTCAAATCGGCGACCTTCCAAAACGTTTTGCGTTGGTCGGAAAAGGCCGTAGGACAAATGGAGCAACCTCCAAACTATAGGGTGGATGCGGTGAAATCTCAACTCCGTTCAGTCCCTCAAATTCTGCCTTGGTCTTTCTGGCTGCATCAGCAGCATTGAACCAAGTTTGTACTCGTAAAACATCAGCAAACTTTTTTGTTCCCTGGACAGTTCCGGTCTGCGACTGATGTAGAGAAATTATATATCAATAGACGCACAAGAAGTAGACCTTTCAAACAATATGGAAATCACACACGATTCATGAGAAAAAACGACCTTTCCATCCAAACGAAGGAAATTTCTTTCCAGCCTTGTATGCGAAACAAGACATTCGACGGACCGAAACCCAGGGATTAGCTTCCTTCGACATACAAACAAATATTTCACTCAAATCATTATAGAAGGTGCGCAAAAGTTCTGCCAATTATTTTGTTAAGTTTAGCAGTGATGCAACATTATTTATAATCAATGCTAATAATTTTCATATACATACAATATATGTAATATACATATAAAGTATATATAATATATATAAAGAGAATTGAGCGGTGAGCAAGAACACGCCTCAGGTGGGAATCGAACCCGCGTTTCATCCATACCGGCGACGCGTGCTACTACCATTAAACCACAGAGGCACATTTGCGCGACCGCTCATTGTTCAACATCTCTCTCTTAGCTATCAGCCACCAACCTTTAACAGATTTGGTCGGGTATGCGGTTTGCTTCATAAAACCCAGTTGAGTTGACAGTTATTGTAATGACTAAAATTCGCAAGTCCTAGTTTATTTACTGCATTCTTCGCAGTTCATAAGGTCTCATATATATACCTAAGAGAATTGAGTGGTGAGCAAAAACACGGCCTCAGTTGGGAATCGAACCCGCGTTTCATTCATACCGCGGACTTAATTGTTAATCTTATTAAGGTTTTTGTTCAATTTTTGCCTAGAATCTGCTATTTTATTTCCTTATTTTCAGGTGTGTTTAAGTTATGGATCTCAAAAACGGCTGACATTGTTATTGGCTACCTTCAAATCAGCACGTGTCTACAAAGCCGTGAAAGAGTTCAAAGAGATTGGAGTGACTGAGGACCGTTCTCGAAAAGACGTCCATGGCTCGGAAAGGTCGAGATCAACAAACACAACGTTCCGAAAATTGTCATAAAAGCAGAAGCTGCCAACTACGAGATCACTTAGGTTCATTTTCTGGCTAAAACGATGAAAGAAGAGCGGCTTCCAAAGGCTCTTCAGATGACCTGTTTGATCGCTAATGCTCGTTTGTTGAAGTTGTTTTCCACGAATGAAAATAAATTTTCGGTTGGACCACCCTTAGAACTGACATCAACTTCTCAAAGAAGGTCAGCAGAAGTCTTCGGTAGCAAAAACCATGGGCCGCAGTTATTTTTCGCCCTTTGTAATGGTCTGCACCGGCATTTGAGCCATCGGAAAGACGCTAATGGTTTATTAACGGCAATATCGAAATGAACGCTGCCCCAGAGTTTTGGAGTACTGAACACTTTGGCGCCAACGGATTTACGCTTCAGTAGGACTGGGCTCTTGCGGATTCTGTTCGTTCAACGATTGCTATCTGTCAACAGCAGTTTTCAGATTATTGGTGCAAGGACTTTGACTGACAAACTCACCGGATCTCAATCCATCGTGTGGTCCATACTGAATGAAGAAGTCTCGGATGCTCGCTACACTATTGTAGAAGCGCTCGAAACGGCTTTGACACGCGCTTGGGACGAAATTATGGTGAAAAGGTGTGCGAGCATTATTGGAAATTTACGCAACCGACTTGGTGAAAAGAGGCCGTAGGAGACAATTTTGAGAATTTATTATGAACTTTTCTGTTTGTAGTTATAATCGTTGATCTAACATGCGTTACTATTCCTCAAACAGAATGAATTGTTTTGTCTACACAGTATTTCTTAGCTGATGAAATATGTAGAATAAATTGACAAAACTTTTTACGCACCGTTTATATTGTGCAGTGATTACGTGAAGTTTTTTGTATTCAAAATGACCACTAGGAAGAGGTGTAAATTCAAACCTTTTTCATAGCACCTTTGCTCTACGATACTCACGAACGCTTTCATTCAAAGATAAATGCAAAATTTCTCACGATCTGTCCTTTCTTTATTCAAAGCACGAGGTTGGTACTTCCTTTTCCTCAAAACTTGGTAGCTAAACGTTAGACGCTAGCCATCAAGTTTTGAGGAAAAGATAGTAACAACCTCGTGCAAATTTTGAATAAAGAAAAGGACAGTTCGTTAGAAATTTTGCAGTTCTTCAAGCATGCCGAGGTTTTGAAATAGAAGGACTTTTGAGATATTTCAAAGAAAAATATTCCTTGCCACAAAATGTGCTTTCACGCTCTCTTTCAAAAGAACTTCTAGAAATTTGAGGAAGTCGCTGTACATAGTGACATTTGCTAACGCTTACTATGAAACAATAGTGATGAAAAATTTTCACATTTCTTGTCAACTTAATACCGATGGATGATCGAAGCGATGAAAAATAAAAATGGAATCTCTAAGGAATTTTGGCTAAATCCACGACTGTAGACAGAATACACGTGCAAAATGAGAATGGTGCAAATGGAATAAAAACTAAAATATTCGGTAAAACGTGAAGCCATAAGACAAATGGTGTGCACCAGCATGTACACTTCACAATGATCAACTGGTTCGCCCGACATCAAACCAGATTTCAGACCATAAACCTCTTGAAATCGCATACTAGTTATCTCAAGGAACTTTCATAGCAGAAACTGTGGCTTAAATTACAACGAATATTAGGAATTGATGAAAAAATATGACGTTTTAGAAAAGGAGCTGAAAAGTGATCTCATGGTAATGGAAACGATAAAAAAGATGAGCCCAGGTGCTGGCCTACCATACCAACCAAGCCTGTAACTTTGGAATAAATGCTGGAGAAAAGCTCGATTTTTGATATCAAACCTCTGTGAACCGTGGAAGCAGCTTAAGAAGCAGGCTCATTACCTTCTTAAAATGACCAACGTACCATTTCGGCCAATCTTGGGGTGCATATCGAGCCAGGTATCCCTGTTTGATTTTGGTGCCCGGATGAGGATTTGCATAAGCCAATAGTGCTTCATCATAATGATACGTCTGTCTTTTGGAGCGTTGAGCGATAGTTGAATCACAGGAAAGAATTGCTGAAAAAGCTCTACATTAGTGATTGATACTGAGCAGACTATTGAAAAATACCTCCAACTCTCTGTTTCTTACTAAAGTTCTGAGATAGCTAAGTCTTTGCACAGAAAATATTTTGTAAGTCAAACGATAATTTGAAGAACTTTCCTTTTTTTATCAACAAAAAACGCTTACGATTATCATTCATATGGAGGAGGGATTGGATGAAGTAGCGCGAAAATGCGCGCGAAGTCCATCCTTGAACTAATTTTAAACTTAGTGTTTCATCATTCCTACAGTTTTTTATTGAACAACTTCATGACATCACAATTGACTTGCTGTGAAGGTGTGGTTAGTCGTGAACTTAAAAAATGCGGATTTGGGTCACCTGAGAAGATGAAGAATCCAATGCGCAGCAGCATTTCTCTGCTGATACGGAGCCAGTCCGTCCGGCTTGGCAGCTGATCACCGACTTCGTAGACGACTGATCGATCTCTGCGCGGAAAAACACGCTGCTGCTTGTCACGCCCGCCTCATTCCCGGTAAGCTGCTATGGTCACCTGCTATTCAGTTGGAATCAGCTCATGACCTAATTTCTTCATACGTCTCGATCACTATCACCCTTCGAATAAGATCCAGCAGAATTTTCTGTCGCCCATGGGAGACAATCACGTAAAAAAAGTTTGCAATAGGGGTAATAACAGAGGTGATGAGTAAATTCACTGTCATTACTTCACTCGATGATGGAAAACCTGGTTTTTCAATAGACAACAAATTTTTCTAATGACCTTTCCTAGGCAAAGCTGAAATCGCTATTCGCAGAGCGGTGCTCAAATTGAGTGCAATTTTCGTTACTAAATGTCAACTGTGTGACGTTGTGAAAAAATTTTCAGGTCTCTTTCATAACTTTGACTCTCTCTCTATATTTCCATGTACTTCCTCACGTTTTGTACATGTAAAACACTCATATTTATGTATGAAAAAACGCCCGTCCAATACAGAGTCATACAGCTATAGGACTGCGATTCGTTAGGAGGTAAAGGCGTTGTTTTTTACCAAAAAACCTTCTGCGAAAATATTTTCAATGGTATCCCATCTTTTACGAATGCAAATTTTTCAGTAAACTGAATTACTATAATAATTACCACTAAACCTCTATGAAATGCAAGCCACGGTGTAACTGCTCCGGAAAGACATGTGTATTCTTTTGGCTGCTACAGCGCGCTATATGGGCCCTCTCAAAATGCGAGTTGAACGCTAGAATTGCCCCTCCTCGAACTGTCGAATGACCTGTGTAAGTTCACTGAAGAAATGTGTGTGGTGAAAAAAACATGAAAAGGCCAGCAACCAAAAATGGTGTACGCGGTTCCCAGAAGGCCGCATGGAGGAGTAAAGGATTTTATAAGTTTAAAGACTAAATCAAGAGACTTATCACGAAAGCACTTTCAAAATCAGTGGATTCTTCGGAATATTCTTCCGACCCAAGTTTTTCGTCAATCAAAACTCTCAAAACTTTAACACTAGTTTCGCAATTCCACAATTCAGTTCAGATCTCACTTTTGATGGAATGAAAGGTGAATGTAACACGGACGAACCTTTGGGGGAACGCTGTCGTTTGCCGACCAATTCGCCGTTCATCAATCTTTTTGAATGTTCATGGTACAATTTCGACGAGAAAACAGTCATAAAACTATGTTCCGTTCCAGATATCAAACTGCGGTTTGCTATATGAATTTCCATTTTATAAGCAGAGACTTGTTAATTTTTGTTGTTTCATTTGAGTAAATTACATGAACTGGAATAAATTTTCACATCATAAATATTAAATTCCGTTCCATCAACAGAGATCTGTGCCTGGTTAGTTACAAGTGCAATAGGCAAGGTCACAGATGGTGCTTAAGGGAATGTAGCACGAGCCAAAGCGACTATATGCTTGACTGAGGCGCGGGTGGATTCAGGAGACAAATTTTGTTTTCCATGCATTCGGCATGTCTTCTTTCCAGCGGGTCAAATTGGCTATAAGGCTGCAAGTAAACGCTCAGGAAGTGAGTGGGAAGCTATTTAAAGTCGCCTCCATAATTAAGCTCTTTTTACTGTCATCAAAAAAGACTGACAAACTTCCAGAAAGTACCCTAGAAAAAGTGCCAACCATTTCATGTTCTGTAACACCATAAAAAATTGTTTCCTCAAACATGTTACTGTAGAAGTTTGGGTGAAACTCGTTTTCATCAAGAGAACTTTGACCGAGAACATCTATTCAATGGAGCAACTTACAACACAGATCAGGCGGTTACGATTAAAGATGTGGATTAAACTGCTTTTCACCATCTTTGTTGCTTAGGCGCCACTATCAAACTGACGAAGTCAAAGCGTTCTATACGAGCAATAAATGCGTCTTCACGAGAGACCAAGCGTTTTTTAAGGTCATCATGGGATTTTATAATTCAAAAAACGGGCTTAGAAGAACACTTGAAGAATGTT